CTGATGTACACCTTTCTTGATTTTGAATCATGCAATGTTTCCTTGTTCTGCTCTGATTGCTGCTTCCCGGTTGAGTTATAGGATTGTCATGAGCACAATCAAGTGTTCTGAGATTCCCATTCATCTCAAGATTAGACACAATTTATGATCCACACAAAAGTCAATGAAATAAAGATAGGCATTCCTTTGTTACTCTCTGTTTTCAGCTAAGATCCATCTAACATTGACTATAATGTTCTTAGTGCCCTGACTTCTTCTAAACCCAGTTTTCACATATGGCAGTTCTCTGTCAATGTACTGTTTCAGTCATTTTTCTATAATCTTTAGCCTGCTGACCTTACTTGCATTTGATATTAGTGATGTTGTTGATATCCCTCAAGTCAAGCACAACTCATAGCAAACCTGCAAATAAAAGATCTGAAGCCTTTCTTTTTTTTTTAATTTTTATTTTATTTATTTATTTTTATTAATTTTAATAGTGGTTTTGGATTTCCATTCATTCATTGCCGCAATTTTCTCCCTTCCCACCCCTCCCCACCAGCTCGCTTTCGCCTCTGAAGAGAGAGGAAAAAAAAAAAGGAAAAAAAATTCCTTCATTAGTATACAATTCCCACATCCCTTCCCCCTAGCCCCCCACCCCGAGTACACTTCTCTATGCAACCTTAATGCTGGATTCCTGTGCTAACCATAATACTCAATCATATATCACCTCTAATCTGCTCTTTTGCTTATCTGTTTCAATACAGTATACATAATTTATCCAGTTTTTTCTGTCATACCCCAACCCTGATGTCAGACCCATTCTACAACAGTGACACCATGCAGTATTTGTCCCTTTGTGACTGAGATATTTCACTCAGCATAATGTCCTCCAGGGTCACCCACTTTGAATAATATTGCATGCATGAGTTCCTTGTTTTTCAATGCAGCGTAGTATTCCATTGTGTGGATATACCACAGCTTCTCTATCCATTCGTTTGTTGATGGGCCCTTAGGTTGCTTCCAACACTTTGCTATTGTAAACAAAGTTGCTATAAACATGGGTGTGTATATATCTGCTTGGATGGCAGACATGGTCTCTCTGGGGTATATTCCCAGTAATGGGATTGCTGGGTCAAATGGTATCTCTATTTGCAATTTTTTGAGAAAACGCCTCACTGCCTTCCACAATGATTGCACCATCTTACATTCCCACCAACACTGAATAAGAGTTCCAGTTTCTCCACATCCTCGCCAGCATTTGTTGCTTGCTGTTCTGTTAAATTTTGCTATTCTTACTGGGGTGAGATGATATCTCATAGTTGTTTTTATTTGCATCTCTCTTAAAGCTAGGGAAGAAATGTTAAAAGTCCCTAGCTCTAAGCCTTTCTATGACTATCATCATTTATCAAAGTTAACAGTTTCCAGAGACACGTTGTTTAGAAAGTGGATGCCACTCCTGCTTCCAATATATAAGGGATATTGTTTGGTAACTTCCACATTCTGTCAATACATTTTTTTAGAATGGGTATAAATATTGATCTCTTCCAGGCAGTTGTCCTGGTAGGTTTCTTCCAGACTTCTTGGCACAGGTTGGTGAGTGCATTCAGGGCTGCATCTGCTTGTTGAAATATGTCAATTGTATGACATCAATTCCTGGGGCCTTGTTAGTTTTTTTTCTTTTATTTTTGCAAATTCCTTAAGAGCAGCTTGAACTTCTTCCTTTATCATCATTACCTCGTGGTTCTATGCTGTTTCATTAATTTTTCTGTCAGCCAATTCTTTTTGGTATGTGACTCTGTGTAACCCTTCCATCTTCTTTTCATGTTTCCTGAAGCATTCAGCACTCTGGCCATAGCACCCTTAAATATTTTAATTTGAGGTTTGAATTTTTTCTTTAGTTCCTTCAGCTTACAAAATGCTAAGTGAGTTCAGGCATTTTGATTTTCCAACCTCAGGTCTTGGCACATTTCATTATAGTATTTTCCTTTATCTTCCCAAGCTACTCTTTGAAATCTTCTGTTCAACTCCTTAATTTATTTATTTCTTCCATTTGGATTCTCAGCATTCAATTTTGCTAGTGCAATATTCAGTGTCTCTTCAGACATCCATCTCAGTCTTCATTTCCACTGTCTTCCTAAAGACCTTTTGCATTCGTCATGGACAATAGCCTTGATAGTCTCTCACAGCTCATCTGGGCTTTGTTCATTAGTGTTTAATCCTTCAAACTTGTTCTTGAGATGGTTTTTAAATTCAGGTAGGATATACTCAAATTCAAACTTTGGTTCTTATGGATTTGATGTCATTCTCTTTAGCTTCAGTTTGGGCTTGCATTTGAGTAGTCGATGGTCTTTCCCACAATCAGAACCAGGCCTAGTTTTCATAGCTAATACTGAGCTTATTTAACAATTTTTTTATAGATATAATCAATCTAATTCCTGTGTAGACCATAAGGTAAAGTCCACTTGTATAGTCACCAATTATGTTTCTTATAAAAAGAATTTGCACTGAATTTTTAAAAATTCTGTCACTCTATCTCCAGCTTCATTTCGTTGACTGAGTTCATGTTCTTCAACAACCTGTCCTGTTCTCAACTTTTGCATTCTGTTCACTCATTATTATTATTGGATCTAGGTTGCATGTTTCCAACTGCAGAAGTTGATAGAAATAATTTATTTTCTCCTCTTTGGCTGTGGTTGTTGGTACATATAATTGAGTGATAGTGGTATTAACAAGTCTTCTTTGTATGCATATGGATGTTATTCTGTCTCTAACAACATTGCATTTCAAGACATGTAGAAATGGTCTTTATAACTATGAATGCAACGTCATTTTTCCTCACCTTTTTATCTCTGGTACAGTAGATCATTGGATTGTCAGATCCAAAATGTCCCATTCCAATCCATTTCATTTTGCCACTGCATAGTACTCAATGTTTATGCAATTCATTTCTTCCTTAACAATGTCTAATTTTCCTACATTCATACTTTTACATTCCACGTTCCAATCACTAATGACTGTTTACAGTTCTTCCTCCTTTGTGATTCCCAGTATGAGGGCTCAGCCTCCTGTGCCATAGCTACTAGTCTAATCTAAGTCTACTCTATTGTACATAGAGTTTTGAAAGTTCTATTATTTCACAAGTAGATGGCAAATCCTTCTCTCTGATATTGTTGTTGTTGTTCTTAGGTATCATTGAGTCACCTGTGACTCATAACAACACTTTGTACATTAGCTCTGCCCTATCCTGAGCCAATCTCACTATCTCCAACAGATCTAAGCCAATTTCTCCAGAAATTGAGTCAATTCATCTCATTCTGAGTCTTCCTCTCCTGTTCAGTCCCTATACTCTTCCAAGAATGATATCCTTCTCTAAGGACTGGTCCCTCCTGGCCAAAGTATGTGAGATGGAGCTTCCAAATCCTTGTCTTCAGAAAGCAACTTGGTTTCACCATCTCCAAGACAGACCAGTTCATTCTCCTAGCAGTCCTCGGTAAGTTCAATACTCTTCTCCAGCACCACAACACAAAGGCATCAATTCTCCTTCTAGCATCCTTAGTTATTGTCCAGCTCTCTGATACATAGCAGGTAATTGTGAAGACCATTGCCTAGATTAGGAGACTTTAGTCTCCAGACTGATATTGTTGCTTTTCAATACTCTAGAGAGGTTCTTGACAGTAGACTTTCCCAGTGCAATTAATCTTTTGATTTCCTGACTACAAATGCCAAGAGTATTGATTGTGGAACCAAGCAAGCTGAAATTATTAATGATCTCAATCAATGTCTTCTCTGTTTGTCATGAAGCTGCAAGAATCTTTATTTTCTTGATTTTGAGCTTCAGTCCGTATCCTTGGACTTTTACAGCAAATGTCTCATATCCTCCTCAATTTCAGCAAGTAAGGTTGTGTAATCTGCATAATGCAAGTTGTTAATGAGTTTTCCTCCAGTCCTGATGCCACATTCCTCCTCATAAATTCCAGCCCTCTAAATAATCTGTTCTGTATGTAGACTGAAAAGGCATGGAGATAGGATGCATCCCTGATGCACACCTTTTCTGATGCTGAAACACTCATTGTTTCCTTACTCTGTTCTGATGATTAACTCCTGGTCCAAGTGTAGGTTTCACATTAGCACAATTAATTCTTCTCAAGGTTAGCCACAATTTGTTGTGACCCATACAATCAAATGCCTTTGCATAGTCACTGAAACACAGACAGACATTCGTCTGGTACTCTATGCTTTTGGCCAAGATCCATCTAACCTTGGCGATGATATCCCTAGTGCCATGGCCTCTTCTAAACCAAGCTTTCACACCTGACAATTCTCTGTTGGTGTACTATCCCAGTCATTTTTTATAATATTCAGCAGGACCTTGTTTGAGTGTGATATTAGTGATATTTTTCAATAATTTCTACATTTTGTCAGGTCACAATTTTTTGGAATGAGAATAAATGTAGATCTCTTCCAGTCAGTTGTCCAGGTAGTTGTCCTCCAGATTACTTGGTATCTGTTTGTTGATATATGTCAATTAAAATTCCATCATTTCCTGGGGCCTTGTCTTTTTCCAAATTCCTTCAGAGCAACTTGAACCACCTCCTTCATCACCATTACCTCTTGATCATATGTTGCTTTATGAAATGCTTCTGTGTCAGTTAATTCTTTCTGGTATAGTCAATCTTTGTACTCCTTCCATCTTGTCTTGATACTTCCTGGGTCACTCAACATTCTGTCCTCAGCATCCTTAAGTATTATAACTCAAGGTTTAAACTTGTTCTTCAATTCCTTCAGCTTAAAAAATGTCAAATCGACCAGCTACTTTCTAGAAACCTGCTCTTTTTGAGAAATCTGCTCTTCTTGTGAGACCCACTGTGGGGGTTTTGCTCTGCTGCAAGACACCAAGGTCTGTGTAACATGGCTGGCCCAGAAGCATCTTCCAGACACTGCTGCCTTTATGTTTGTTAAAGACTACAGCCATGCCCAGGCACACTCACATACTGGTCAGCGACAGAATCACTGCCTACCTGGTTGAGGGGCTACATTTTTAGACTGCAATCCCACACAGAGAACTAGACTACTACCCCTGTCATCTGGAGACCCCATTGTCCTGGAGACAACCAAGCTGTTGCCAATGTTGTCCAGCACCAGGAGCACCAATAGCACAAGAACTTCCGGTGAAACACTGCTGTGTAACGATACCATGTGGGATTTTTTTTAAACTCAATCAGAAAATGCCAGGTGGAAGCATGGTTTCAGGAAGGCTACAGTCATCCTGCTTCTGGTTGATTATTCTTCCCAAGAGGGGAGCACCAACATACAAGTCCATCACAAACCATTGTCATACACTGGGTCCTTATATAGTTACAACAACCTAGTACGTACTAAGAAAAGACTCACATAATGTCAAGAAGGTTGCAGTCCGCCTCAGTTAAAATAAACCTCCTAAAAAGATGGACCCAATGAATACTCCAGATTGAGAGAGCCAGAAGAAACACATTGATATGGAGTTATTTGAACAACTACATAAGAAGATGCCAATGATGGAAGAAACAATGGAAGTCATTAAGAGAACAAATACACCTGAGATAGCAATGCAGAAATAAAAATTTTGATGACAAGCAATTTGAACATCTACCAAAGAAAATGGAAAAAGAATGGAAGAAAGAATTGACAGTGCAGATAAAGACATACAAGAACTTAAAAAAATCATCACAAGGCAGAGAAGGTACATCCAACATAGTACAAGAAATAACAGAAAAGCATAAAAATGCAATCAAGAATATTAAGACAGAAGTGGCAGGAATGTCCAACACACTGGTAGGACAAAAAAGTTGAACTGAAGAGATGGGGAGTCAGTTAGCTGGGAGACAATAGACTCACTGGAAACATACTAAATATTAGAGATAAGACATAAAGAAAATGAAGGAAACATTGGAATTGTGGGACGACATCAAAAGGAACAACATACATATGATTGGAATTCCAGAACATGAGAGTGGCAGGGAAGTCAAGGAGATAATTGTGGAATATGTACTAGAAGAAAACTAACTTCCCTGGTATTTTGAAGAATGAGAGAATCCGCATTCAAGGAGCACAGTGAACACCAAATAGACTAGATTCAAAAATAAGAACATCAAGACATAATAGTCAAATTCTAGAAATTAGAAGATAAGGAAAACATACTTAAGAACAGGTCGAGAGAAACAACAGTCACCTACTAAGGGGAAACAACTACATTAACTTCAGTTTTCTCAGTAGAAACCCTTCGAGCAAAAAGACAATGAGACAGCACATACAAATAGTTGAAAGAAAACAATTGCCAGCCAAGGATCCTATACCCAGCAAAGCTCTCCATCAAATATGAAGGAGAAAGTAGATCCTTTACAGAAAAGAAAGAACTTAAGGAATTTGTGAAAACAAGACCAAAACTTCAAGAAATTTTAAGTGAAACTTTTCACACAGATACACCAAAGAGAAGTGGATGGAGCACAGTAACAAGAAACAGCAGAAAAATAAATAGCAAAATAGAAAAAGTAAAACTTTGCCTGACAATTATCACATTTAATGTGAATGGACTAAATTTGTCAATCAAGAGAAAAAGAGTAACAGAATGGATGAAAAAAACAAAAACAAAAAAAACAAAGCCCACCAATATGTTGCCTAAAAGAGACACATCTGAAAAATGGAGAGAAAGACTCAAAATCAACAGTTGGGAAAAATATCCCAAGCAAATTGCAACCACACACACACACACACA